TGATATTAGAAGTACTAATTTACGTGATTCTAAAAACAAAACCGGATGAATATCACTGAGTCAGACTGACAGCATTTTTACCAATACACAAACGGGAGAAAAGCTGTAATGTTCGAGTAAGGAAGATAACAAAAAATCAGGATTTCAAGGCAAAAAAAATCCCATTCAAAGTCTGTTTCAAAATAACTTAAGATTATATGGAAATTTGCAAGCTTCAAGACTTTTGAATGTACGACTTATGCAACTGAAAATTATATAGATAACAGAAGAGCAAAATTTTAAAGCAAAAAATGAAATCTTTGAAAAACTAGCCATGACGGTGCTGGATTTCGGCGAACGAATCACGAAGTGGACCTTTTGCACGACTTAGGGCACATATTTCCGCAATCAGCGCTGTGCGTTCATTTTCCTGAAATATTTTTGAAATATGGTACAAAAGTTCATCACAACTCGCAATGAATGTGATGGCCTTGTTGATAAACTACTTCTAGCTGTGTATTCGCTCAGGAAAGATATCAAGAATACGGGAATTTTAGGCATGCGGTGCCCTAAAACTCATCAAATCCTATGTAATTTTTGTTTCAAAACGTTCACTCAAAAATTTCCGAATATCAGAAGGACCTAACCTTTTGTTCGACAAGTTTATGATAAGCTTCAATTTCATCGTTATGTTTCTTTTCGGCCTCATTTAAACATTCTTCCACACTGGACAGTTCTTTGCGAAGCGTCTAAAAACTACGACTTTTTTCATTTCTTCTATCATAAATAATAATAATTTGTTCATCAAAAAAATTCTGTTCAAAGACAAAATAACTTTCCGCTGCTCAGAAAAAGAAAAAATTCTCTCCACAAACCTCAATAACTCCCAACTGTTCCAGTTTCTCTTGAATCGCTAAGTCGTTAGCTCGCTCGAGTTCTGTGCATTTTCGTTGGAGCGCTGCTTTCTCGCTGCCGAGTGCTGCAAGTTCGTCTTCAAGTTTAAGCAAGCGTGCTGTCTGCGTCTCCAATATGTGCGATGTTTCCCTGAAAAACAGGAAACAAACCACGTCTACCTCAAATTAGACGGAAACCGAGGGTACCAAGGGCTTTTTTATGATACAAAATTTGAACAACATATAGAAGTTCCACATGTTGAATACTCTTATGAATCACTATGTGTTTCATTCCTTAACTGTAAACAGTGACAGAGTAACGAGGACAGACAAAAGCAGAATCAGAATTTGCAACACAG